GATAAGTCTACAGATAAATTCTCAGTATACGGCGCAGAAAAATTTAAAAGAGACACGCTAAACGTTGCGTTGGATAAGCTGATTATGGATTTAAACAAAAGGAGTCAAGTCTATGAGATGTATAGCAAGAAATTCAAATTTTTATCGGATTTGCAGGACAGAAATATAGAAAACATAGATCTGGAAAGTGTACGTAATATTGTTGATTATTATCCAGATGACGCAGAGGAGCATTTAGTGAATGACTGCATTCAGTTAAAATCTTATTTACTTTATTCACTAGCTGTGGAGCTGAGCGCTCTTTCTCCAGGATGTCTTATATAGAAAACAAATATAGGACAACAATGTCGAACCATCGACTAAATCATTTATCAGTTCCTTCCATAAATTGTGATTTAACGAAGGACTTACAATGTGATGAGCAAATAAAGGAATTAGCAGCACCAAAATGCAGAAAGGTTGCTTTATAATTTATATAACATAACTACACATAACCTGTCAATTTCTTTTGCAATAATATTGTACAGTTGCTGTTTGTATAGACAAATAAATAAATAAAAAAATAAATATAACTATTTTATTGTCCTATTTTTTTCTATATACTTATCTACATCACTATAGAAAACAGTTTTTTTTTACAAAATGGCTATTAGGGCCTCAAAGTAGTTTCAGCCCAGAGCCCCACAAATTCACGATCCGCCCATGGATAGACCAATCTGAAAAGACGTTAAAAGCGAGTAAGAGTCATTCATGCATGAAGTCAAATCTGAATTCCATATAAATTTTAAAAGTTATATAAAACCAAAATAATGTCATTTTTTTTAAATAAAATTTTTTTTTTAAATGTAATTCAAAAAAATGTAAATTTGAGCTATGCTTATTGTATGACTTGTATTCATAGTTTAAACCTGAAAGCAATATATGGGAAGGCATAACGATATTTTTTCTAGCAAGATGGTTTGCTAATTAATGGTTTGATTAAAAAATAACACTCTTAAATGTATGTTTTTCTGTATATAAAAAACAAATTCGTGTTATAAGTCAATGATTTTTCAATCAATCAATAGTTTTTATCAATCATAGATTTTTTAAGTTTGAAGCAATTTTTTAAAAATTTTGTACATAAGAAACTACTGAACTGATTTTGTCCAAATTTTATATTTTGCCATTTAGAATTACTGTGTTTAATAGGGTGTGAAAATTTATGTAAAAACTTTGAATTTGCTTCTAAACATTCCTCAGATATTGTCAATGCTTCAAAATTCCTCATGCTGAAACTATTAAAATCATACTTTTCAGAATTTGTCTACCCTATTTAAACAGTAAAAATCCTAATTACATTGAAAAAACCAAACATGTTTATTCAGAAGAAGTATGTTTTGCTTCTTTCTTTCTGTTATTTGATAATTATCATTAATAAATTAGCATATATGAGGTTTTCACTTTTGAGACATTGAGGTTGCCTCTTATCAGAGCATTAGAACAAACATTATTAAATGTGATATTTTTATTTTTTTGAGCATTGTACCTGTTGACATAATTTAAATTTTAGTTTCATGTGCAATTATTATTAGGAATAAAAAAAAAATCTTTTTCATGTACTAACATATTCTATACATAAAATAACAATTTTTTTTCTTTTCAGATATGCTTTTCTTAAGTTGGATAAAGTGCCCAGTATTTCATGACACTTCATGTTTATCTAAGATAATAGCGAAAAAAAGAGTCTTCTTTAAACTAGTTTCTACTGTCGCTGTGAAAAATTGAAGAAAGGCATTTTCATTTCCTAAAGACAATAATACTATTACATCCTATTTAAATATGATGTTTGTTTAAATGTTATTCATTCATTCCATTGTATAACTTAAGCCTATTGAAAATAAGTTAAATACTTCTGTTGCTCAATTACTGATACTTATAAAATACTGCTAAGAACTAATCTACCATATCTAATCTAAAATATCAAACAGTACACTCTTATTAAACATTACAATTACAGCTAATGTAAATGTCTTCAATAGGATAGAGTTAAGGCAGTCAGTATGAGTTTGAAAGACAGTGACTTGCCTAAAAAATTACTCACAACAACTTGCTCAGAGGAATTTAGTCTCACAGATGAGAAACCT